GGAAGTGTCAAGAATCCCAATGGAAACTTCAAAAAATTCTGACAAAAACACGGCAGTGAAGGGGTTTGTGATGGGGTGTACAAACCCCACACTGGGCCCAAAGGGATTAAAGGACAATACTGAGCCCCCACATAGCCTCGTCTCTCCAGACCTGCCGAGTGCGCTCTAGCTGGAGAGGAAGCTTAAGAGGAAGTAACTCAGCTTAGAAGGGAAAGGCTGGGGAGGAAGACAGACTGCCTGCTGAGCCTGGTTGGGGCTGAAGGTTTAGTTTTCTTTTCTTTTCCTTTCCTATCCTATATTGGACTTGGAGATGGAGGGTAGGAAGTGACCCAGGAAGGCAACTCCGAAGCACTCCAGAGTGCCGACACTGGCTCTTATAGGGCCCTGGGTTGGAGCCCAATGGAGTGGGAAGGCCCAGGCTCCCCTACTGACTGCCCTTGTTGCAGGAGGGGCATAAGCTTCATTTCCACTGCACTCTCCCTCTAGTAAGGAGAGGGTAAGGATGTTAAAAACCCTGAGCTGAAGCTAAGCCCCATACAAGGGTTAGGAACTGGACTGACTTTCCTGGTGGAAGGCATGATACTGGAAACTGGATGCACACTCGGCCACTTAGCCCTCTGAGGTCTCTATTAGAGGATTAAATGAAGTTTATAGCAACTTATGTAACAGCTGTCAACAGGCTGTGGGTGTGGTTCTCTCAGGATGGAAACAATCATTACATTGTCATATATGGTGGCTTGCAGTGCATCCAGGTTGTACACCATGGGGTTATTGTTACATATGGTATCATGTCTGATTGCTAGATTCAAGTAGTGTTGAACAAGGATGATATAATATCATTAATTCAGTGCAGTATGATTACGTATACTCTCCTTGTGATTTACAGAAGTTACCTCACTTTTGCCAAATATCAAACTGAAGAGCTGTTATATAGTCCTCTTATTTTCCTCTTTTTCCCATTTAATTTGTGGGCATTGACAAGTAATTACATAAACTGTATGTGTTTCCCTTGCTCTTTTATTGTGAAGTCAGGTTGGTTTGTTTCAGATGTGAACCAGGCAAACATACGTAGTATGTTAAAAATACATGAACAGCAACATGTACCATGGTACCATAGATCTTTGTCGTAAGCCGGCCTCCCCAAATCCCAGCTCTTCAGGCTTTTGGGTGTGCAGAGCCTTGCTCTCCGTTTTCTTATGTGCTCAAAAATGTACCAGGCACATTTTCAGACAGTGCCCGGATTCTGATCTTACTTACAGTGGTATAATTCCACTTACTGCGGTAGAGTTGCTCCTGCTTTACACTGGTGTGAATTCAGACTCTGCTGTAGTCAGTGGAATTATGCTAGTGTAATAAGATCAAAATTAAGGTTACAAAGGCCTGTGGGTCTATGCTGATTTACACCAGTTGAGATTCTGACTTCTTTTTCTCCCTTTCCAATTTTTGTAATAAATACTGTCTTCCTGTGCTTTCATTTTTCATTTTAACTTTGCAACTATTTTATAAAACCTGTAAACTCTCTCAACAGGAGAGAGGTTATACAAAACAAAGTTGAGTTGTGTCTGTTCTATGTCTTTTAAACACCATACATGTTGTTGTTGTGAAAAGTGTTGCCTTGAGACTATTGGAAGCTAAAAGTCCTCCAGTTTATCCATAGAATAGGTACAACACAGGTCAACAGCAGTCTTCCCGCCTCCATGCCTTAACCTTGTTCTGGATGGGATGCTTCTAGGAGCATGAGGACAGTTCAGTCTCCATGTCTGTTCCCGTCCTTGTCTTCTGTCTTGAGACTTCCAATGTGGGGACTATTCAGGGTCAAAAGTGGTGGCCATTTTATGATGCATATCTCTATCCACTTGAAACTAGACTGACATTGCAGCTTTTTTCACATAGGACACCTAAGAGCTATCAGATGATAGCCTGGGTTGGTAATAACTGAAACTGTTGTTTTTGAATTGGTGACCTCATGTTGAGAGATGTGGTTATCCTATTACCATTCTCCGGAGCCATAGAGTGCTCTTCTCACCCCTGAACTCCAATACAGATACTTAGTTTTTACTCCTAGCCACAAAGTCTTTCAGAAAAATTAAATATGCATTGTGTGCACCATTTAAAATGGAAGAATATAACTGCATAAGACTATTACAATTTTAGAGAAGTGTGGAAGGCAAATCTTGATGTGTGTCGAAACAGGAAGAATTTGGAAATGTCCCAGTATGCTCTTCTTGTTACTTTACGAAGTAAAAGGTGGGGAGTCCTTTCAGGAGAAGGCGGTGTGTATGGGTATATAAAACTGAAGATGCCCATGCTCAAGTCTTTGGTAGAAACTCCAAGAATAGTATTGCTAACAGCTGCTACGTGGGGGAATGGGAGTTTGGTTTTTTTCATTGAATCAATGGGAAGTAATTCCATTTTCTGTTAAATTCTATACTTTTTGAAAGCTTGATATGTATCTCTGTCAGGATGATACTGATAACAGCATCACTGATTTCCCTGGCTGAATCATCTATTCAGTGGGTCATGTCAAGCATTAGTTATATTTAAAAAAAAGTTTACATGTTGTTCTCAGCTAGAGTGAGCAGTTGTTTTGAATTAGGTAGCGCAGCAAAAGTTAATTGCTTACAAAAGGCTTTCAATTATTTTATGGCAAATAATTTAAGCCTTTCTGGTTAGGGTATGTTAAAAGCCCTGTGGCATAGCTGTGGTTGGCCCAGGTCATCTGACTTGAGCTTGTGGGGCTCCGGCTGCAGAACAAAAAAATGCTGTGTAGATATGCAGGCTTGGGCTGTAGCCCAAGCTCTGGGACCTTTGATCCTCACTGGGTCCCCAGACCTCAGGCTCCAACCCGAGTCCAAACACAACCGTTTTTCAGCCCCAGAGCCCGAGCCCCGATGGCCCAAGTCAGCTAACCTGGGCCAGTTTTGGGGTTTTTATCCCTGTGTAGACATACCCTTCATCTCAAACTAAGTTCCTTACCAGAAATAAGCCTTTATATGTAATGTTGTCCTTTTTGATCTAGGTGGCTAGTCAAAGTTCGGGGCCTTGTAGTTTGTTCCAGCTGGGAGTAGAAATTGATGATGCAGTTGGGTATTTTCTTTGATGAAATCTTGTGTATTTACAAAGAATCTACAAAGTCCTGTTTCTCCAGGAGAAACCAAGAACAAAAGGAGCTGTTTCTTATCTGACAGATCCAAGCTCCTTTCAGCCTGTGTCCCTGAACAGACCTCTCTCTGGGCTTTTGGCTAGGGTCACACCACGCTTACAGGCAGCTGTTGCTTGGCTTTCTTGCTCTGCTTCAGTCTCTCTGTCTCTTGTCCTCCCTCCCAGTTTGTCTTTTTTGCCCATAGACATGCCCACCCACCTGGTTAGAACAATACCTATGGAACCCACTGCCCACACGGTGCTGGTTTCTGGACAGGTTCTGTTAGGCCTTGTTTTAGATGTGGCCCCTTAACTGTCTCTTACAACTATATTAAAATGAGAAAGGATGTATTCATGCATCAATGTCGATAGGTTTTAACTCCGCTCATAACAAGGTTTAACCCAGCTCGTAAACAATATTTGTATAGCTGTGCCATTATTTACATCCAGCTGGTCTGGGAATGTATTGCAGGTCTCCTACTTTCCTTAGAAAAGTATACGCAGATACCAAGTAGATTTGCAAAATTCAGATGACTAGTTTTCCTGCAATTTTATTGATTTGTCAACTACAGTTCATGGGCTGGATGCTCCAGATTTGGCTGAGGGGTATTTTGGAGCAAATCCAGAAGAGGGGAACAAAGATGGCTTTAAGCCACCATTGTATGTCTCAAAAAGAAAAGGAGGACTTGTGGCACCTTAGAGACTAACCAATTTATTTGAGCATGAGCTTTCGTGAGCTCACGAAAGCTCATGCTCAAATAAATTGGTTAGTCTGTAAGGTGCCACAAGTCCTCCTTTTCTTTTTGCGAATACAGACTAACACGGCTGTTCCTCTGGAACATTGTATGTCTAAACATCTCGGCCCAGGTCCACACACTTGGGTTAGCAGGGCTCGTGGTAGTGCTCTAAAAATAGCTGGGTAGACAGTGCTTTGAAGCTGTGGTTTGTGCTGGAGCTTGGACTCTGAGGTCCCTCCGCCTCCCTGAGTGGCAAAGTTTACACAGTTATTTTTAGCAATATAGCATGAACCTGAGTCTGTCTACCCGGGCTGGGAGGCTTGCTTCCGGGGCTATGAAAACGTACCCCCTCAGTCCTGGGGTCTCCAGGCACTGCTCTTGTCTCTGGTGCTGATCTAACTTGTACTGACTGCCGGTAGTCCATAGGGTTATTTTACCAGCTGGATGTCAGATGGATACAGGGCATCCCCTCCAGGTGTACTTTTCCCAGGCACATGCCCTATAAGTCAGGCTGCGGGTAAGGGGAGTGGCACAGGGGCTGCTATAGATTATTCTACATCATCTATATAAGATGCGAGGGAATCACCATGGCTGATTGTGCTGTTTTAGTGCAGCTTTGTTGGAATGGCACAAAGCAGCCTTAGAGAAGGAGGAGAAGAGTAGTTGCTTTATGTAGCAATTCAGGTAAAAGGATCTGCCTTTATCTACAGCTGTTTACTGCATGAAGCGCACAGACCTACTAGTTATGAAAAGGGTAAGAGAAAAATTAATGTCAACACCAGGACTCAGATTTATAGCCTCCATGAACTTATACCATCCTGCGTGGCCCTGCCTTATTGAACAGACATCAGGTCATGGAAATTCTCAAACTTGACTATACCTGAATTCAAGTCTTTCCTCTAAATGATTATCTGACATTTAATGTATGTTGTTGCATAAATCACATGAAATTGTACGTTCTACTTCTTTGATCTATCTTAGGCATTGCCGTTCATAGTATGTAGAAGTAATTTTATTGTAGTTAATTACATTTATTTGATTATGTTGAGGTTGAGTGTTTCTAGGATACTCATCGCTGTTGTATCTGAGCACTTAAAATACGTTGTATTGTTTTTCTTACAGAAGTTTCGATGTTGGACTGCATCATTTTCTTATCAGGTAAGCTAATGATATCATTAAAGGGCAGCAGAACTCCAGTGAGCAGCAGGGTTTCTTGTTTTAGGCAGTGCTGCTAGTGCCGCCTATTTTTAAAGCTATATGACAATTTTCCTTACATCAGACCTTGTTTTCGGTTACTTATAACTTTGCCAGACTGTAAGTGTTCAGCCTGAAATTTTCCATGTTGGGTGTCTGCTTCAGGGTGCCTTTTGAAAATCTCAGTAAAAATGGTTCAGCCATTTCTGAGAATGAGATAAGACGACAATACGTGCATCGTTTTGCCATGTTAAAAACATTCTTATAATTATTTAATTGAAAAGACCCAGGGTGTCTATGCTTTGGTGTAAGGATTTGAAACTTCACAGGGGATTGGCTTTTTGGCAGGGATGTGCCTTTTGTTGTCCCCGTGAAAACCCTGCCTTAGTCAATGCATAAGACAGACTGTGTTCAGGCAATGAATCAGGGTTAGATAGAGAAGGAGGCTGTTGTCTATAGGACCCAGATTTGTTTGTTGCAGAAGTTGGAAGGAGTGTAGTGAATGATGCAGGGAATTGCAGGAAGAGAAAAGGGGGTCTCATGGTTAAGACAGTTGACTTCTGTCCCTGCCTCTGCCAGAGAGTTCCTGTGTGATGCTGGACAAGTCCCTTAAACCAAACTTGTAATAGGTGGCCACTAATTGTCGTCGTGTGTTCTTCATTTTCTGGGTGTCCACCTTGAAACCATGGAGGTCTGATTTACAGAAATGTTAAGCACTCAGAGCTGCAACTGAAATGAATTGGAGCTGTGCCTTTGACATATGAAGTGCTATATAATGCTAAACACTGAAAAATCCGATCCTAGGCTCCCAAATGGGGCACCCAAAATCAGTTGACACTTCCTTTTATATCTGTGCCTCAGTTCCCCCTGTGTAAAGTGAGGTTCATACCATTATCTCACATAATTCATGAATGTGACAATAAATTAATTCATGTTTGTGAGGCATTCAAATACTATGATGATGAACACCATAGAAAAGCCCATGAAGAAATTAATAATTTGGGGTTCAGAGCAGGGTTTGAATAGTCTGCGGTAAATAATACATGGGGCCAAATGTTGAAAGTTGAGGAGAAACAGAATTATTGAACAGCTGCTCAGTAAGCGCCATCCATCACTGAATGAGATGTGGGTCCTGTGGAAACAACAGTATGTGAACATGTAATTAAAGTCTTTTATCATCAGACATTCTCACAAGGGCTCTGAATTAACGCGGCACAAACAACCTTAATTCTGGCATGTCCTAACTCTTGAGTGCTTGACTTTGCAACCTTAATGTTGTTCTTAATGTAGTTTTTTGGATGTAACGGTTGTTCTCTTCACTGAAGCCAGATGGCTAAAATCACTAAACAAGTCTGCATTTTTAGTACACAGTTAAAGTTTTGAGAATATTGTACGTTGTGATGACACTATAAATTCTACAAATGTATTTATGCATACACTCCTACCAGCATTGCCATTTCTACTGATCATTTGATAGTTATTTTTCACAAAAATATGTCACAGGTGTAAAGAGGATTGTCTCCTTAGACTATGAACAATGGGATCTCCTGAGAATACAAATAATCTCATAAGTGAGACTTTTTTCAGAGTAGCAGCCGTGTTAGTCTGTATTCGCAAAAAGAAAAGGAGTACTTGTGGCACCTTAGACACTAACCAATTTATTTGAGCATAAGCTTTTGTGAGCTACAGCTCACTTCATCGGATGCATAAAAGTGGAAAATGCAATGAGGATGTTTTTATACACACAGACCATGAAAAAATGGGTGTTTATCACTTCAAAAGGTTTTCTCCCCCCACCCCACTCTCTTGCTGTTAATAGCTTATCTAAAGTGATCACTCTCCTTACAATGTGTATGATAATCAAGGTGGGTCATTTCCAGCAAAAATCCAGAGTTTAACAAGAACGTCTGAGGAATGGGCGGGGGGGGGAGGTAGGAAAAAACAAGGGGAAATAGGTTAACTTGCATAATGACTTAGCCACTCCCAGTCTCTATTCAAGCCTAAGTTAATTGTATCCAATTTGCAAATGAATTCCAATTCAGCAATCTCTCGCTGGACTCTGATTTTGAAGTTTTTCTGTTGTAATATCGCAACTTTCATGTCTGTAATCGCGTGACCAGAGAGATTGAGGTGTTCTCCGATTGGTTTATGAATGTTATAATTCTTGACATCTGATTTGTGTCCATTTATTCTTTTACGTAGAGACTGTCCAGTTTGACCAATGTACATGGCAGAGGGGCATTGCTTGCACATGATGGCATGTATCACATTGGTAGATGTGCAGGTGAACGAGCCTCTGATAGTGTGGCTGATGTAATTAGGCCCTGTGATGGTGTCCCCTGAATAGATATGTGGGCACAGTTGGCAACGGGCTTTGTTGCAAGGATAGGTTCCTGGGTTAGTGGTTCTGTGTGTGGTATGGTGGTTGCTATTGAGTATTTGCTTCAGGTTGGGGGGCTGTCTGTAGGCAAGGACTGGCCTGTCTCCCGAGATTTGTGAGAGTGATGGGTTGTCCTTCAGGATAGGTTGTAGATCCTTGATAATGCGTTGGAGAGGTTTAGCTGGGGGCTGAAGGTGACGGCTAGTGGCGTTCTGTTATTTTCTTTGTTGGGCCTGTCCTGTAGTAGGTGACTTCTGGGTACTCTTTTGGCTCTGTCAATCTGTTTCTTCGCTTCAGCAGGTGGGTATTGTAGTTGTAAGAATGCTTGATAGAGATCTTGTAGGTGTTTGTCTCTGTCTGAGGGGTTGGAGGAAATGTGGTTGTATTGTAGAGCTTGGCTGTAGACAATGGATCGTGTGGTGTGGTCTGGGTGAAAGCTGGAGGCATGTAGGTAGGAATAGCGGTCAGTAGGTTTCCGGTATAGGGTGGTGTTTATGTGACCATCATTTATTAGCACCGTAGTGTCCAGGAAGTGGATCATTTGTGTGGACTGGACCAGGCTGAGGTTGATGGTGGGATGGAAATTGTTGAAATCATGGTGGAATTCCTCAAGGGCTTCTTTTCCATGGGTCCAGATGATGACGATGTCATCAATATAGCACAAGTAGAGTAGGGGTATTAGGGGACGAGAGCTGAGGAAGCGTTGTTCTAAGTCAGCCATAAAAATGTTGGCATGCTGTGGGGCCATGCAGGTACCCATAGCAGTACCGCTGATTTGAAGGTATACATTGTCTCCAAATGTGAAATAGTTATGGGTGAGGACAAAGTCACAAAGTTCAGCCACCAGGTTTGCCGTGACATTATCGGGGATAGTGTTCCTGACGGCTTGTAGTCCATCTTTGTGTGGAATGTTGGTTTAGAGGGCTTCTACATCCATAGTGGCCAGGATGGTGTTTTCAGGAAGATCACCGATGGATTGTAGTTTCCTTAGGAAGTCAGTGGTGTCTCGAAGATAGTTGGGAGTGCTGGTAGCGTAGGGCCTGAGGAGGGAGTCTACATAGCCAGACAATCCTGCTGTCAGGATGCCAATGCCTTAGATGATGGGGTGCCCAGGATTTCCAAGTTTATGGATCTTGGGTAGTAGATAGAATATCCCAGGTCAGGGTTCCACGGGTGTGTCTGTGCGGATTTGATCTTGTGCTTTTTCAGGGAGTTTCTTGAGCAAATGCTGTAGTTTCTTTTGGTAACCCTCAGTGGGATCAGAGGGTAATGGCTTGTAGAAAGTGGTGTTGGAGAGCTGCCGAGAGTGATCACTTTGGATAAGCTATTGCCAGCAGGAGAGTGGGGTGGGGGGAGAAAACCTTTTGAAGTGATAAACACCCATTTTTTCATGGTCTGTGTGTATAAAAACATCCTCACTGCATTTTCCACTTTTATGCATCCGATGAAGTAAGCTCTAGCTCACAAAAGCTTATGCTCAAATAAATTGGTTAGTCTCTAAGGTGCCACAAGTACTCCTTTTCTATAAGGGAGACTGTTATCACATCTACTGTAGATGTATCAAAAACAAGTCAATAGTAATGCTTCTGTCACAGGAGAGTCACTTTCAATTACTTCATACTGAGGAATGTAATCAGATGTTACTCTTATAAAAATATACAACAGTATTTTACATCCCATTGAGACGTAACATTGGGTTTGCCAAAAGAAAAGGAGTACTTATGGCACCTTAGAGACTAACAAATTTATTTGAGCATAAGCTTTCGTGAGTTACAGCTCACTTCATTAGAATTCATTCAGTGGAATGCATCCGATGAAGTGAGCTGTAGCTCACGAAAGCTTATGCTCAAATAAATTTGGTAGTCTCTAAGGTGCCACAGATACTCCTTTTCTCTTTGTGAATACAGACTAACACGGCTGCTCCTCTGAAACCTGTCATTGGGTTTGCTATTTGTTTGTATAATCATGGCACAGCAAGCTGCCACTGAATTTGTATGAGCTGAAAGTTTTCTTTCTTGTTTGAGGCCCCATTCTTTAATGCTGCACAGAGGGCCTCCTTCAGTAATTTGTTGTTCTGTCCTTAATGACAGGATAGACACCATTGATTCTTGGAGCCTTAGACCGTTGGAAGGCAGTGTGGTCTGGTGCAGTGTCTCTCAACTTTTTTTGAAGCCTGCTGCCTTCCTAAACTGTGTCAGGGAGTTCTCAGGGATCGGTGCCAGTCCACGGATCGGTCATTGGGAAACCTGGGACCTGAGTACTATTCCCAGCTTTGTGTTTGATCTAGGGCAAGTCAATTCCTCTCTTTTCTTTCAGCATGTAAGACACATGAGCTGACATCTGAACCATAAGCTCTTTGGGGCAGAGACTGTCTCCTATTATATGTTTGTACAGCACCTAGCAGGATGGGTCCCCCAATCTCAGTTGGGGTTTCTAGGCACTACTGGAATATAAATGATAAAAAATAGCCACAGAAAGCATTAGAAAAAGTAGCATCTTCTGAATATTTTTTTAAATGTGAGAACTGCCTACTGCGGTGCAGCCGGAATGTAGGAAAAACAAGAAGTGTAGGTCCAGCAGAGGT